AAAAAAAAACTCAAAAAAAAAAAAAAAAACAAGACACATCGCAGATCTTTTGATATATTGTGTAAAAAAGCATAAATTTTTATTTATCTTTAATTCGATATTTCGAGCTTTGAAATTGGCCCAGTGGTTCAAAAGTTATAAATTTTTGAAAATAGTCATTTTTGAAAAAAATCCATTTTTAAACCACCCTAACATGGAAATGATCACCCTTATGACAATGTTAAAAAAAATACGGGTCTAATATTTAACGATAAGGAACAAAACTACAAATTTTTACGAAATGCTGAGAACCTCTATCTCGTTTTTTTATGGAATGGCTCAATTATGAACATTTTTTTTAATGTATAGTTTTGATATCTTATCAAAGATCCCGAATTTTTAGAGAAAAAAAAATCAAGTTCAAGATTTTGAAAGGCATTTTATGAACTTATGTATGTTTGTCCCTTCTCAGGCAGTGATGATGGAATATTTTCCAAGTTCCAGAGTGTCGAAAATTGTTACAATAAATAAACTCTAAGTTTCGGTCCTTTCGGCCTGATGTCTTTCAGCCAAATGACCCATTCGATCTAATGACGTTCGGCCTAATGGACCTACACCGAGGGTAACATACTTTGTTGGAGCATTTAGTTACCATAAACATTACAAAATTATTTAAAAAACCTTCCCATGACCACATTGTAGAATTTGTTCATGCGGTGAAATCCTACAAATTCTGTGCACTTGTTTTAAAATCTTACATCACCCGGTTGGGTGAATTTATCCGATAACAGTTGAAAACAACAATTTTATTTGAATAAATGAAAACTTACCTACCTCTTCAGAATACAAATCGATACCGAGCATTGACATGCCCCTCGTTCATAATCTAATCTAGTACAATTGTAACGCAAAAGGCAAGGCAACACAGTCTACTTGTAAGGGAGAACAGTCCGTAATGCACCCCTGGAGTAAAATGCCCACTTTTCTATAACGACGATAACGATAACTTTTCCTCAGATACATTTTACGGGTAACGGATTGTGTTTGTTTTCAAACTGGAGGTGTCACAAATAATTCCTGATCTGATTCCTTTAAAAAAATTACATTTTGTGCAAAACATGGCACAGTTGTTAAAATCATCGACTACAAATTAAGCTTTCAATAGCATATATCGCAAAAAATTAAATGAATGCACGTTTCGTATAGTTTTTAGATGTTTTACTGAGTGTTTTACTTCATGAATCATTTTGGAATTGATTAAAAAAATACCTTGAAAATCGTTAAAAAAATCATCGTTTTGTCGTTCGAAATCAATCGATCTTCGTAGAAAACATGGTAATGAACCATACACCATCGGTTTCTCTTTTATTCTAGCTTCCATACGCCAGCAATTTACGATTTTGTGCGTTTTGCGCCATCCCACCCTCCATGCAGTGCATTATTTCGGTTGGGATAAGTAGGGCTCGTCCCGCACTAACAGCAGCTTCTTGTAGGCGACATTACCTACAAAGCTGCGGTGAGCAGAAGGGTTTGGCATACCACTCGACCCAAAACGACCCGGCATGAAATATGAAACATCTTTGCATGTTTGCTTCACATCATCTGCCTGTTGAGGGAAACCATCGAACCTACGACGCAGCGAGTGCACATGGCGCTACCCAGTCCGTCCAGACGGTCCTCACGAATCAATCCTTTTATGTGAAGCATATGTTTGTTTGTTTCAGCACGCTTTCTTACTTCTATCTCGTCGTGGTGCATAACTGGATTGTGTACGCAAAACCGTAAAATGTTCTCGTAGCTACCGATAAAACATGGTTCAATGGATCGTGAAGTAACGAACCGATGTACCAACCAACTGAATTTAATCGCGGAAACGTTCGTGCGACAGTTTCATGCTCCATTGGCTCAAAACGCAGCTGGTGGATTACCGAGCCACACACTGCACCGGTTCGGGTTTATTATCCTTTATATGCGATATGTCATTTTGGAGAAGCAGAAGAAACAAGATGAGCTGCTCGTTATCCTTGAGCTTAACGATCGATCTCAAGAGGATCGCCGACGTTTCGTTCCTATTCCTGTTGCTGACTTTTTGTTCAGGAATTTGTGTCGTTTTGCTTGGACGGGATGATAATAAAAAAAAAATTGAAACGAGGAAGAAGGCAAAGAAGTACTAAACAAGTAACGATGCCGCCACGATACTCGGTACTTTTCAAGTGCCATAAAATATGTTCATGTGGGAATCACTTAACGTTTCATTTGTGTCAACCGACTGGTAGCAGGAATACATATTCAAATGCATGTGTTTACTTCTACATCCAAAAAACTTTTTTCCCTTTTGAAATTGGAGCTCGAAATAACTCAAAATTGACACAATCTTTTCATTAAAAAAAAAACCAATGTTTTACAATCTACCTGTTCAAAACAGTCCAGACTTACGGTTTTATGTTTATGCTAAAACGAACCTGTTTTCACCACATTAGAGGATTTAACTTTTAGCCAAAAGACGCAAGCGAAAAGTCGACCCACCCAACAAATATTAAGGGCCAACGGAAGTCGTCAGGCGCCACTCAGCAGGATATTGAACCGTACTCGAACTGAAAATCCGTATTTGCCTATCACCTTTTATTGCTCGTTTCCTTCCCTAAGCAGTCGATATAGTGGTCAAACTTCTTGCCAGTTGTCATTGCATTTCCTCACAAGTAAATATTCTGCAACGACCTTCGTCCACTTCCCGTCGTCAAGCCAATGTAAATGTACAAAAAAGTATTTGTGGATGAACATTGAGTTCTGTTTACCTTTTTAGTTTCCTTTCCTAACACTGTGGAGGGTAGTTTGCTCTAGTTTAGAACTAAGATGTCATCGGCCACATTTTTCTTGCCTATGTCATGGTAGCATGAATGGGAAGAAGGTTTACAGACGGTCAAAGCCTGTCTGGAGTGTGCATTTGATGTAATCCCTTGGGAAAGGAAAATGTTTTCATTTTTGTGTTGGAGTTTTATTATTAACCAGTTGCTGTACAATTGTAGTGCTATGCTTTGGAATATTTGAGATTCCCATAGGAATTTAAGGAATGCTTGCATCATTTATGTTTGAATTCAGAGTCAAATAACGGCAGGCGATGCATCGTTGATTTAAAAAAATTAAATGAATCCTTGAAGCTCGAAATTGACTAATTAAAGAACAGTCAACAAAATTTATCGAAAACGGTGTAAAAGCTAGAACATTAAGTTGATAAAAGTAATCGTAAAAAAATTGTAGTAATGCCGTAGTTCTTGGTGTCCCATTTTTTCCCGCTGAAAATACGCTTGAAATTAGCATATCATAACATACACCAGGTTGCACAATGTCGTAGGTGGTACGAGCTTCAAACTGTTGTTAAAAATGAGACCCGCCTTCATCCGTTGCTGTTAGATAGTAATTTGTGATTAATTACTACCTCTTAGATAAATGATGTGTCTTTCTCCAACAGACCAGAGCTCTCCTGGCCACGTCCTTACATCTGGTGGGGAAGAGAGATGGGATGCAGATACGACCCCTCATAAGTGTCACGGCAAGGGTGGATTTTTGTTAGTAGGGAGGGTAAGCCATAGGATACACCCAGCCGGCGTTGCTGGCAATAGTTATATCAAGAATTTAATAAACAGAAGCTGTAAGTAGTTTATCTGTCCGTTGTTGCCGCCCATTACCTAAACATATTATTCAAAACAGTCTTTAGATTTAGGAATTAAGAAACGTTATCAGCTCGATCCTGTTGCTCCTTTGCGCCTGAAAGTGCTTGTTGATCCTAAACATATGCACAATTCATTCTGATCGATAGGAGGTTCTCATGTGTAAAAGGTTATTAATAGTATGTGGAATCGTGGATTAGAATGAAGATTTGCCTTTGGCCTAACTCCCACTGTCTGGCAGTAGCATTATGGATAAAATCTGCCTGCAATCATTTCTTATGAATGCAAGAAGCTTGAACCCGGGAGTTAGAAGGTGACAGCTCTACCGCAGCTACAATAGCCCATTTCAAGAACGCAGCATTCCGAAGCTATTTTCACACATGATAAGCCCCGCTCCAATACATTATCGATGCAAATATACACCATTGATAATGTACTGAAACTTTTAATCAAGCAGTAGTGCAATACTTGATTGACGCGTATTTAGTAAGTTATTAAATGATCGTCTTGAATTAGATGGATATTTCCTATCAAGGACAGAGGAACGAAAAGGTAAATAAACTTAGCTGAGCGTATCTACGCGTAGGTTATAACAGTCGGCACCACATGCAACGGATAGGAATTTGAAAATTTTCACTTAATGCACTTTTCAACATCACTTCTGTATCAAATTAAAACACTTTTTAAAAATGAAATTGAAAATTTATAACATTTTCACTAGAACGAAAACGACGCAGCAAAACAAAAACACGTCATTTTCGCAGCGTGGCCTACTTCAATCCGCTGAAAATACGCTTGTAATTGCTCACAAAATTATTACTTGTTATGGTGTGACTGTAAATCCTGTTGCAATAGCTTCGGTTACCAGATTAATGGGAAAAAATAAACCAAAAACCCCTTTGGTACCTATTCGCGTAGTTTTTAAAGATGAAGATACTAAAGAATTTCTATTTTCAAAAAAAAAAAGGTTGGAGGGTGGTGTACCAAACACGACCGCATTATTGACGTAGGACTACGAAATTTTTGTTCGATTTTCTATTTATATATATATCTCTGTACTATTTAACGATTCGGACGTTTTCGAAGATGTCGCGCAGCAGGAGAATGCATACGATGAGGGTTTCTCAGTTCATGAAAGGTAAACGGAATAAATTTAACCCACCGATACGGCTACAAATAGAACTTCATTTATTTCCTTAACAAATTATTTGACTTTTGTATCATTTTGATGTATTTAGTGACTAATTGAATGGGTGAATCATGAGTTACTCTATATAAATTCTATTCTAACTCTTTTCTAAATTGAACTTGGTGGGCCTGAAAAGGGCCGTTTTGTTACGTTGGTGATAAGTTTCAACCTCCAAAACCGTACATAATGCGTCCCTGTCGCTTCAGAGCGTAGACGACATCCATGGTCGTGACGGTTTTGCGCTTGGCGTGTTCAGTATAGGTGACACGGATCATAATTTCTAGGAACACCTTCAGCACAACTCGGGCTTCCTCGTAGATCAGACCGGGGACACGCTTGACACCACCACGTCGAGCCAGATGACGGATGGCAGGCCCTGGATGTTTTTTTTTAATAATCCATTTATTTGTCTAGGCTCAAATGCGTTAGCTCTGCGGAGTCGAATATTTTTTACATTATTGTGTGTGAATATCATTTTCTTACAACTAATGTTAGTAGAACGGGGGCCGATTGCTCGCGGTTTACTCGAGATTAGGGATTACATTTATTGATCATTTGGAGGGAGGACAAGGGAAAGCATTTTGAACTAATTTAAAACTTAAACGTAAAGGATGACTAAAACACAAAACATTAAACACATACATCAACAGCTTTAAGAAAGTCGTAAATAAGCTTCATAATGTCGATATCACGGCAAGCCAAGACGTCTCTAATTGGCTTAAAGGGTTGTTTTTTTTCGGACCCTAAGGGAATCACATAGAACGGATCTCGCCTCATGATGCAAGGAGCAGGACCAAACAACATGCTCGATGTCGTTATAACTGTTTCCACAGGTGCACAAGTTGCTGTCGGCAAGCGTAATACGGAAGAGGTGGGCGTTTAACGAACAGTGATTGGACATGAGCCTGCACATTACACGAATAAAATCACGACTCACATCCAACCCTTTGAACCAGGGTTTGATCGACACTTGTGGGACAATAGAATGTAGCCATCATCCCAGATCACCATCATTCCACTTTATTTGCCAGTTGGCGAGGACTTGCTGACGAGAAATCGTGAAAAATTCGTGGTAGGCGATTTGTCGCTCGTAAATATCACCTTCCATAGCGCCCACCTTGGCCAGCGAGTCCGCTTTCTCATTGCCCGGGATAGAGCAATGAGAAGGGACCCATACCAAGGTGATGACACGCGAGCTGTTTGATAAAGCACTCAATGACGATCGTACTGGAGGAAATACGCCGAGTGCTTTATCGACCTCATTGAACGCATAGCCTCCAGGGAGCTTAGGCTATCCGCAAAAATGAAATAATGGAGGCAATACGCTCTAACGTGTACGATATAGCTGCTAGTTCAGCAACGTATACCGAACACGGCTTTTGAAGCTTGTATGAGGCGCTATGAAGATCGTGGAGTACTCCAAAACCAGTGGAAGCATTTATCACCGACCCATCTGTGAAAAATCTCTTCTTGGTGGGGACGTGGCGGTATTTGTTTGCAAAAATAGTTGGGACAATCAGGGAACGGTGAGGCTCTGGAATTCCTTGAATCTCCTGCCTCATTGTGAGATCGAATCTCTCGGAAGAACAACTGAAATGATGGGAGACAGCGCGATTGGGGTTGAACGAGGAGGGGCCGATGTCCAGAGTCATGTACTCGCAGTACAAGCTCATGAATCGTGTTTGAGGATTCCGCTCTAGCAGCTTCTCAAAGTTTTCGATCACCACCATGACTTCACAGCGGATGAGGAACCGGAACGATAAATCCGCAAAACGATTTGTTAAGGGGAGGACACCCGCAAGAACTTCAAGACTCATGATATGCGTCGATTGCATACAACCTAGCGCGATTCGAATGCAACGATATTGAATCCTTTGGAGCTTCAATATGTGCGTCCCCGCCGCCGATTGAAAGCAAAATCTACCGTACTCCAAAATCGAGAGAATGGTGGTCTTGTAGAATCTTATCAGATCTTCCGGATGGGCTCCCCATGAGGTGCCGGTAATGGAACGAAGGAAATTGATTCGCTGTTGGCATCTCTGCCTCAGATACGCTATGTGTTTTCCCCAAGTGCACTTGGAATCGAACCAGACACCTAAATACTTAAACGACATGCCGTGAGTGATTGTTCTACCCATAAGTTGAAGCTGAAACTGTGCTGGATAAAGCTTCCTAGAAAAAACAACCATCTCCGTTTTCTCCGGAGAGAATTCGATACCCAGATTCATTGCCCAAGTAGACAAATTATCCAAGGTATCTTGCAATGGTCCTTGCAGGTCCGGTGCTGTTGGTCCAACCATGGAAACCACGCCGTCATCTGCAAGCTGCCTTAGCGTGCAATTTTCGGCCAGACATTCATCAATGTCTTTGACATAGAAATTGTACAGGAGGGGACTTAAACATGAGCCTTGTGGAAGACCCATGTAGCTGATTCGTGCAATTTTCGTGTTGCCATGAGAGAAGCTCATTCGTTTCTCGGACAACAAATTAAACAGGAAATTTTTGATAATCGGAGAAAGCCCACTCGCATGGAGTTTGTCCGAAAGGATGTCGATGCAAACAGAATCAAACGCCCCTTTAATGTCCAAGAAAACTGAACCCATCTGCTGTTTTTCAGCATAGGCTAATTGGATTTCAGTTGAAAGCAACGCAAGGCAGTCGTTCGTCCCTTTGCTCCTACGGAATTCAAATTGCGTATCTGAGAGTAATCCATTCGCCTCGACCCACTTGTCCAGACGAAGAAGAATCATTTTTTCTAACAGCTTCCGAATACACGACAGCATCGCGATGAGACGGTACGAATTATGATCCGACGCGGGTTTACCGGGCTTCTGGATGGCGATAACTCTCACTTGTCTCCAATCATCCGGAACAACGTTGAACTCAAGGAATCGATTGAACAAGTTCAACAATCGCCTCTTTGTGACTTTTGGGAGGTTCTTGAGCAGGTTGAACTTGATTCGATCAATTCCCGGAGCCGAGTTATTGCATGAAAGAAGAGCAATTGAGAATTCTACCATCGAAAACGAGGAGTCCATGTCATCGTTTTCCATGCCCTGGATGTTATCACGCAGAACTTCCGATGACGCTTGACGCCTCCTTTTCCAAGACCTTTGCCTCCCTTGCCACGACCAGTCATTGATGCATGATGTTTGTCGTTGAACGGGTGAATCGAAACTAAGCCAAAAGCGATTTTTTTTTTACTATAAATGATCTTTATTTCTTGTATTTGTGTGGGTTACATGTATTACTTATCAAGTGACATAGTCTGTGTAACACAGATGCGTATTTTCAACTTTAGTTATTTTGAAATTTCAATTATAATTAATTACAGTTCCTAGTCCTATCAGGCCTGTTTTAAGAATGACCACTTTGGTGGGATTGGTTTGTTGAAGCCAAAAGCAACCTCTTATACATATAGACAACCAACTCTGCCGGTACCATATTTTCTCGCTTCCCATTGGCTATATACAGTCATGGTGATGCAGTTTTGTCAATATTGGGAAATTGCCGTAAAAGCTCTAAGCAGACGTCACCACTGCATGATGATGATAATGTTGATAGGCTACATAGCAAATTCATGAAAATGAGCATTCATTAAAAAATTAATATTTTGAAATAAAATCCAACTGGAAAACTCAAAGATGCAAATAAGACTGATTGGAATGAAGTTTTCCTAACACCATTCGAAAGATGTATTGAAAGGATGTTTTGTAGGTTTGATGAAAATTATGAATTAATGCTCATTTCCATGAATTTGCTATGTAGCCTGTCAACATTATCATTATCATGCAGTGGCAACATCTGCGTAGAGCTTTTACGGCAATTTCCCAATATAGTCAAAGCTTGCTGAAAGGCGTGCTGAAGGTGTTCCTAGAAAATATGATCCGTGATGCCGTCATCTACACTGAATACGCCAAGCGCAAAACCGTCACGGCCATGGATGTCGTCTACGCTCTGAAGCGACAGGGACGCATTCTGTACGGTTTCGGAGGTTAAAACTTATCACCAACGTAACAAAACGGCCCTTTTCAGGCCCACCAAGTTCATTTCAGAAAAGAGAAAGTTCTGAAGCCTAACATCTCTGATCACGCCTGCCTTTGGAAGGGAAGTAAAGCCGTTGGTTCCCGGTTCATGAGTTGATGGGTCGATAGGCAGGGTCCAGGTGTGGGTAGCATTGGTGCTCAGCACGGAAAACAAATCCAAGGAAAATAAACGGAGAGCATTTTGTGTGGTGGTTGGGGATGTGTTGTTCTGAATTGGCAACAAAATGTTCCGCAATTGCATCCTACCTATTCGTACACGCCCGAAGATCGGAATGTCACTTCAACTTGTTTAATCTAGGAACTATTCTCTAATGACTGTGTTGGGGAAGCAGCACATGCATGTACGTAATTGGTGGACATTTACCACTTTTTCAATAGTTTCAATTTAAAAATCAACAGTCAAAAGCATTTTTATCGCTGCGTCGAAAAGTTTCTGATCGTTTGGTGGTAAAATTAATGAAATAGGTCCAGGGGCAGCTAGGTTATTAACGTTCAAAATCTTTCATAGTTTCATTTTTCGGTTTTCATAAAGTGTACCCCCATCTTTCCGAAAGACGTAGTCCTACGTCAAAATCAATGTGGGAAGTTACTGTCATCATCAATCGATCCCAGTTTTATGATCAATGGTAATCCAACAACCGTCACTATTCGGGATGAACTAACCCCACTGCACAGCGGTCCAGAAGGCAGATTTAGGTGGAATGATATGTTTTGAGCCTGAAATTGAAAATTTAGACTTAAAGTCTCTTACAAAGTTGTTCCTTTTAGTTAGGGCCTCATTTATATGACAATGAATTCTAGGGTGGTTCTTATTATCATTAAAATCAAATATCTAACTTTTTTGTTTGAATAAATTAAGGTAAACATTTTTCGGCAAAATTATAGCTGAGCTAATTTCAAGCAACATTGTAGAAAACAACTTTTTTGTATCTCTTAAATTGGACGATTTAGAGCTACTTTGTTGAATTGAGTAAGGGTGGCTCTAAAAAAACAGTTGTTTTGCTCTAGTTTTCTTATTTCAAACTTCTCAGCAAAGGTGTCTTCAAATAACTTTTAGATCTTAAGAAGGCGCAATTTTTTGCCGCACAAAGCTTGTCAATATCTTTCGCTGATCAAGAGTTATTGACGTTTTTATACTAAAAACTATGCACTTTTCAAATGTTAATATCTCTGGTTGGGGTAAACAAAAAAAAAGTTTCTCTACGGCATTTGAAAGGGCGTATGTTATTCTCAATAAAATAAAAAATTGGAGGTATGTTATTTTTTAAACTCGTATAAAATCTATTTGAATTTATTTAATTTTTAACTATATTTGGGTATATCTTTTTAATTAGAAGAGATACAGACAACAAATTTTGCTACAAAACATTCGCCTTAAAGAGTTAAAAGTCTCTAGAAAATCATTTTCATGAAAAATTTCAATAATGTTTTCAACAAAGTTGCTTAAAATTAGCTCAGCTATAACTTTGCCGAAGAATGTATACCTTAATTTATTCAAACAAAAAAGTTAGATTTTTGATTTTAATGATAATAAGAATTCATTGTCATAAAACTGAGGGCCAAACTATAAGGAACAACTTTGTACAAGAGACTTTTAGTCTAAAGTTTCAATTTCAGGCTCAAAACATATCATTCCACCTAAATCTTCATTCTGGACCACTGTGCACTGTCTATGGAACTTTTAACCGAAATGAGAGAGTATCAAGAAAGTTTACAGCTAAAATATGTTTGGTCCAGTAGAGGAGGGAATATATTAGTGAAGAAGAATGAACATTCTAAGCCCGAGATAATAAAGACTAGGGATAATTGAATTGAATTGGTTAACCGTTATAGTGGAAACTCTTCAGCGAAGGAAACTCCATCTCCTAAGAGGAAGTGTTCAGCAAATAATTCTAATTCTAATAAGTAAGCGTTAATATATATATATTAATATGGTTCTTTGTCAACTTTGAAAATAAACAATAAAATGGCTCAAAGAATAAATTGTTACCATGATTGTATTGATGAATTTAATCGAAATTATCACGAAAACGGTGGTAATTTTTTTCGAATAGCACAATGGCTCTGCAAAAGTTTAATACATTTCCTTTGTTTTAAGATATGTAATATGAAAGCCCCTGTTGATGTAATTGTTATTGGTGAAACGTGGCTGAAACCTGATAATTGTCCTTTGTTTCATATACCCCATTATAATTCATTTTTTCTTGTCGTGATACGTTCTCTGGTGGTCTTGCGGTGTATGTAAGAAGTGGATTGAATGTTAATTTAATAAAAAAAACATTACTCTTGATGAAATGCACTTAATTCACATTGAAATGAAAATAAAAGATTGGTCAGTCCGCATCGTGCTCTCTTGCCGTGCGGATCTATTTGCTTTTTGCTGAAGGAAGTGTTACTACTACCTAAAGCTACAACAAATTTAAACAGCACTTTTCAGTGCTCAACCTGTACAATGTCTACCTTGTTTAACTCTTATTCCTCTTCGATCCTTGTTTGGACCCTACCCGGGGTAATCCTTCTTGAATATCGATTTGAAAAATTCCTCTTCGATCCTTCAGATTCTTATAGTAATCTGCTTGAAAGTCAATTTGGATAAAAATTTACTGCCGCCATGGCACCTAAGCGCAAAAGAAAAGGGCAAACTCTTGATCCCCCTTCGGATGAAATTAATTTGAGTAATCAATTTGATTTACTCACGGATGATGAGAATGATCCATCATCCAAGAAAAATTCTAGTAAACTTGTTCCCGAAGGGAAACCAAATTTTTAAAGCAGCAACTTTTTTTTGATGCAACGCTTAAACTGTAATTTATTTATCATCAATAAATAATCATAATAATAATTAAGTAAATTACTCACAACAAAGTGGTTTCCTTTACCACTAGACTCCGTTTTCTGATTTCCCTCAATTTGGCGAACTTGAGTACCGCTACCCTCACCGTAATCTGTTTGGTGGGTTTTCTGGGAGAAACACAATCAGGTAAGTAAATGAATTAATCTCACTTCTTCTCACTACTTACAGCTTTGAACCACGATTTGAACCGACCGATTCTTGTTGCACTATCTGTTAGCTAATTGCGAAATTGAACTCAATAAACCACTTTTACTGTTGAATTTAATTGCTACAAATTGCACCGTAAACAACCGACTTTTGTTGCAATGGCGAACTTATCCTTTTCTATCTGTTTTGTTTTGTTTTCCTTATGTACTATCTCCACTATCATCTGTATTGTTTTGTACTTTCTACTACTAACACTCCAGCGCGCGAGCTGTCATGCTGCAGCTATGCTCGTTAACTAGGGGTGTCCAAGCGGCGTCTCAACACCCCGGCCCGTAACATCCGGCATTCTAGGATTTTCCTTACCTCCATCGCCGCTAGGTTCACCACGCTCTCCATCCGAGCCCTTCATCACCGTCTCTTGCTTTGGCCACTGCTCTTGCGACCGATACAGGAACGCTGGCCCGTTAAACCATTCTCCTTCACTTTGCAACGGCGGACCTTGTCCCCACTTCGTCAGCACGTCTGCGATGTTCAGCTTGGTCGAAATCCATCTCCAATCTTCTACCTTCGTCAGCTCTTGAATCTCACCGATCCGGAATGCAACGAATTGCTTATATCGGTGTTGATCGGAATTGAGCCAACTGCACACAGTGCGAGAGTCCGTCCAGAAAACGGTGCGACTGATCTGATAAGAGTGCGTGCCCAGGATCGTTTGACTCATCCGAGCACCCATCAACTCCAGGCGTGGAATCGATTGACGTTTTATCGGCGCCACCTTCGCCCGGGACATCATCAGACTGCAGTGAACTTCTCCTTCGATGACCGCTCTCAAGTATGCTACGCAGCCGTATCCATGTTCGCTGGCGTCGGTGAAGATGTGTACTTCCATCGAGTCGACTTCGGCAGCCTTGGCACTACCGATATAGCAACGTGGAATCCAGATAGGTTCAACCTCTGGCAGAAGATTTGTCCAACGCTTCCACAACTCCCAGGAAATGGCATCGATTTCTTGGTCCCAATCGCAGTTCGAACGCCACAGATGTTGAATAATGATTTTGCCGTGTATGGTGAATCCCATCACATAGCTAGCAACAAGCCTTTTCGTTGGTCGTTTTCCTTCGTACAGGTACGGCTTCAACTCCTCACGATGCATCGTCGAGAATGCGAACTCATCCATGTCTGGATACCAGATGACTCCCAGAACTCTTTCCTTAGATGTCTCCTTGTCGCGCCCGAAGTGTACTGGAACGGGCGGCTTTGGCTCTCCCAGAGCCTGGAGAATTTCTGGGGCATTGGAAACCCAGTTCCGGATTTCGAAGCCTGCTTTCTGGTGGACCAAGCACACCTCCTGCGCCAACTTCACAGCCTTTTCCACCGAGTCGACGCTGTCGAAGTAATCATCGACGTAGTGGCGATGTATGATGGCAGCAGCTGCTTCGGGATACTGAGCGGCGAATTCTTCAGCGTTGCGGTTCTTGACAAACTGAGCCGAGCAAGGAGAGCTTGTCGATCCGAATGTCACCACGTCTATGACGTAGATGTTTGGCGAATCGTCCGGAGATTTCCTTAAAACGAATCGCTGATTTTGCTTGTCTTCGGCGCGAATCTTCATTTGGTGAAACATCTCCTTCAAATCTCCACCGAACGCAATTCGCCATTCGCGAAAACCGAAGAGAACCTTGATCAGCGGAACCAGCATGTCGGGCCCTTTCAGCAACTGTGAATTCAGAGAAATCCCTTGCACCGTCGCTGCCGCATCCCACACAAGACGTATCTTACCTGGTTTTTTGGGGTTTTGCACTACGCTGAGTGGGAGATACCATACCTCGTTGGGAGAAGTTCCAGCTAATTCATCCTTGGTAGCCAGGTGTGCATAGGCTTTCTCCTGATATTCGTCGATCTGCTTGCAGACGTTTTTGTGTAACTCCGGATTCCTCTCTAGACGCCTCTCCAGCTGGTTCATTCTTCTGACGGCCATATGGAAACTTTCCGGAAACCGTGGATCATCTGTTTTCCACAGTAGGCCGGTTTCGAAGCGTTCGCCGATCCGTTTGGTCGTCCGCTCGAGAATTTCCCGTGCTCGTTTATCCTCCGTAGACTCCTGCTGTACAGCCACCACCGATTCCTCCAGAGCGTAATGGCTTTTAGGCAGTTCGTGTAGGTCCTCGTTGGTGGTTCCTTGGTGGTATCCGAAGTAATTTCCCGCTGCAACCGTGGTGGAGTGCCTTGGACCGTATACCGTCCATCCAAGTTTGCACCGAACCGCGATCGGATCTGCCGGTGCACCAACCTTCGCCTCTATCGGAGCAAACGAGTGAATATTGTTCAGTCCGATGAGTAGTTCCGGTTGCCCGTCGTACGACTCGATTGACAATCCTCGCATGTGGTGATATTGTGCGGCAAGCTCTTTGAAATCCAGCCTCTGGCGTGGCAGCATCAGTTTTCCAACCGTACGGACACTATGCAGCAGCAGCTTGTTGCCCGCATCGGCACTAACACCCGACGCCCACAGATTCATCCGCCGGGACTCCTTCTCTTCGCGCGTGATATCGGCCGTCCACTTGATCGTCAATCGCTCCTGTACTCCGACGACGCCCAGCCGATCAGCTAGTTTCTTCTCTACCAACGTGACGTCTAGAAACGCTAGCACCGTGATCGATTTTCCACCACAGTGGAGCTGTACCGGAACCATACGGAACATGACCGTGCAGTTGGAACGAATATGTGCGCTCATTCCAACAGCGTTTCTCACTGGATGCATCAGCGGATTGTGGAACTCCCTGCAATCGCTGACGTTACAGCGGATTTTAAACTTGCAATGCCCTCCATGATCATTGAGGCACACGTTGCATAGTTTGTCGCGAGTTACTACCTTCATCCGGTCCGCATACCGAAGCTTCCTGAAATCCGCGCAGTGCCGAAGACGGTGTTCCGTGCTGTTACATTGATTGCATGGCTTCAATCTTTTCCGGTCGTTCGAACTGGGACCTGGACCATTGGCTTCGTTGTGGCAGTACAGCGCACCTTTCTCCTTCGGCGTCTTCTTCCAGGACGATGGCCCACTTTTTGACTGGTATGATGGCTTGAAATCGATATCGACATTGGCCTCGCAAGCATCCGACACGATGTCCATCAGGAAATCCGTTAGCGTTCGTAGCGTTGGTTCCTTCTTGCCTCTCCAGTAGTGAACCCATTCACGCTTTTCCCGATCGGGTAGTTTGGCAACCAGAGATTTTATCAGAAGCGGGTTGACGAGATGATGTCGAAGTCCCGCGGCCTCCAGATGTCCGCAGAGTTGCTCCACAGTGTTTCCAAATGGGACAAAGCTCCACAGGTTATCCGCTTTTGGAGGTTCCAGCTGGTTAACTTTGTCTAGAAGACTTTGAAGCAGTTGCTCCGGACGGCCGTAATGTCTGCGAAGTTTCTCGATGACCTTCGGAATAGATTCTGGAAGAAGCAGCTGACCAGATACCAGCTCGAGGGCGTCACCTTCAAGGGCTTCCTGCAATCGCATCAGGTTCTCGTGGTTCATGTAACCACATGCATCGTTGGATGCTTTGTAGGCCGCGTGAAACAATGGCCATTGCGCTGGATTGCCCGAGAATTTGGGAAGTTTGTACGTTAATCCCTTTCTCGCGGCCAGCTGGGCTTTTGTCGGTCCGATCCTCTTAACCTTTTTCGGCTTCACGATTTCCTCTTCCAGCGATGCTTCGGATAGGCTTGTATCATCGGATTCGTCGTCGTCTTGATCGTCCTCATCGTCAGTTTCTTCGTCGTCTTGCTCATCGGTGTATTCGTCGTCATCGAGTAGCTTCTTCACGTTCTCCTTACTCAGCTTCAACTGGTTTTTGTTGTATTTACCGCTAGGTTCCGCTCGCATCTCGTTTCGGACTACTTTATTTACTACGGGCTTTTTGACGGCCGAAAGCCCTGCTAACTCCTGATCAAGATCCGCCATTTGTTCCTCGAACGATTTCTGGTTCGCCTTCATCCGCTTGATCTGCTCCATCTTCTTCTTGAGCATCTCCGCTTGCCAAGCCTTTTGCTCCTTTTCTTCTTCCGCGCGCATCTGCAGCTCCAACTCCATCTTCTTACTTTCGAACGCACGCTGCATCTCCCTTTCCTTTTTTCGCAGCTGCAGCTCCACCGCCAGCTCTTCGTATTGCTTCTTCTGACGTTCTTCTAGCGCCCGCACTTTTGCCTCCACGCTAGACGCCCCTAAGCGAGAGTTGACGCTGGATTTGTCAGACTCGTCAGTTTGCTTCTTGCTCCGAGCCTGCTTCTTGGCGTCCTTCTGCTTTTGGTACTCCTGGGCCTTCTCCTGACAGGCTTTACTTTGGCAGTACCACTTCTTCATCGATTTGCCCTCCGAGATGCCCACGCAACGGGAATGGAACCATTCGGAACACCCGTCGCAGCCGATCATCTCTTCCGCGCACGTTGATGGACCGCAAATCCCACACGGAGTTTCCGTGAGATTAAGGACGGTTTTGTCCTTCACGGATTCGGAATCGGATGTCATTTTGTGGCAGGTCCGACTTCTCACTTGGACACTTTGAGTGTCACTTTGTTTTTAAGAATGTTCCCGAAGGGAAACCAAATTTTTAAAGCAGCAACTTTTTTTTGATGCAACGCTTAAACTGTAATTTATTTATCATCAATAAATAATCATAATAATAATTAAGTAAATTACTCACAACAAAGTGGTTTCCTTTACCACTAGACTCCGTTTTCTGATTTCCCTCAATTTGGCGAACTTGAGTACCGCTACCCTCACCGTAATCTGTTTGGTGGGTTTTCTGGGAGAAACACAATCAGGTAAGTAAATGAATTAATCTCACTTCTTCTCACTACTTACAGCTTTGAACCACGATTTGAACCGACCGATTCTTGTTGCACTATCTGTTAGCTAATTGCGAAATTGAACTCAATAAACCACTTTTACTGTTGAATTTAATTGCTACAAATTGCACCGTAAACAACCGACTTTTGTTGCAATGGCGAACTTATCCTTTTCTATCTGTTTTGTTTTGTTTTCCTTATGTACTATCTCCACTATCATCTGTATTGTTTTGTACTTTCTACTACTAACACTCCAGCGCGCGAGCTGTCATGCTGCAGCTATGCTCGTTAACTAGGGGTGTCCAAGCGGCGTCTCAACAAAACTTAATGCCAATAAGGAAAAGATTCCCCCTATTGTGATAACCACTTCCGATTTCCATGCTCTTCGCATGGAACTTTTGAATTTCGTGAAAGTTAAGTTTTCACTACAAATTGGACGTCGGGGTGAATGCTGTGTATTGGCTGAAACCTTGGACGGATTTAAATGTCTTCTCAAGTATCTTACTAAGAAGCAGCACAATGTTTTTACTTACGACACCGAAACTGAACGTGTGTTCAAGGTTGTCATGAAAGGACTGCCCTCTGGTGAATCCCTGGATCAGATCAAAGATGAACTGGCAAAATTACTTGGAGTTGTGTTACTCCAAGTAATCAAAATGAAAATGAAATCCCGTCCTGGCGATTCGCGCAACGGGATTTCCAATGATTTTTATTTAGTTCACTTCAAGTCTAGTGAACTAAACAACCTTAAGGCCTTAGAAAAGCTAGCCTTATGCTTCATGCCCGAGTGAAGTGGGAACACTTCAGGAAGACTGGAGGAAATTTCCAAAACCTCACTCAGTGCCGTAAGTGCCAGGGATGGGGTCACGGAACTAAAAATTGCTACATGCCAGCTAAATGCATGAATTGTGGTGATTCCTCTCACGCAAAGGACGACTGTCCTGTGAAGGAAGATCCTAAGAAATTTAAATGTTCAAATTGTGGTGAAAACCACAAATCCAATTTTTGGGAATGACCTGACCCGCAAAACGATTCTACAATCTCGTTCTAAGCGCCAGGTAGGAAACGCTCCACGTTCCCGAACAGGTACAAATTACTCCGCTGTTAACAACGGTCAGCGAGAACAAATTCTACATTCGTACCCGTAGGTACAAATATAAACCCTGCTTCAAAATTTTCATCTGTACCTACTCCCCTCACTGCTAACAATGTTCAGTGAGTTAATGGAACTATCTATGCTGCTATTGCAACGGGTAGAAATCAAAATACTAACCAACGTAATTCTAACGGAAATTTTGACAATTATGACTTAGGAAGCATTACTGCCCCTAAAATGGAATTTTTACAGAAATCATTAATTGACATGATTTCTGATATGCTTAAATCTAACTCCATGTTTGATGCTATTCAAACTGGAGTAAAATTTGCAAATAATATTGTCATGACTTTAAAATTCAGTAATGGATTTTAAAGCATTAAATATTTTAAATTGGAATGTTCGACACTAAATTGACAAACTGACAGCTCGCTCCCATACAAAGTGACACCGAGGGGCCATTATGAGGTAATTTTTGCAAGTGTAATCGTTCTTATTTAAAATAGTTCCAGTGTACCAAAATCGATGAAATTTTGGGTTTGGGTTCCATATTTAATGCAGATTACGAATGTGCATTTACCTCAATACCCTTAAAGAACCCAATTGGTTACCCATGCTGACTTCGGTTCTGAACACCTTCCAGTAACTTTTGAAATATCCCAGGAAATAAATTCTAATCCCAACAGCTCTACTCTTCAAGTACCATAGAGCTGATTGGGAGCAATATCGAACATTTATGGAATATAACTTCGATCCAAACATTCCTTTGCAAACCAAAGATGAAATTAATTATGCTCTTGAATATCTGACAACTTCTATAGTTGAAGCAAGAGCTGCCTCAGTACCAAAATGCGAGGTTAAATTCGATTCAATTATAATAGACAGCGATCTTCAGCTCTTGATCCGTCTTAAAAATGTCCGTAGGAGACAATATCAAAGAACACGCGATCCTGCCATGAAAGTTATCTGGCGGGATTTGCAAAAACAAATTAAAAAACGATTCTCTGCCGTGAGGAACAAAACTTTTGAAAATAATGTTTCTAAATTAGACCCGAGTTCCCAACCCTTTTGGAAACTCACAAAATTTTTGAAAAAACCTCAAAAGCCAATTCCAGCGCTTAAAGAAGGTGGTAAAATTTTGATCACAAATTTGGAAAAAGCTCAGAAACTTGCTAAGCAATTCAAGAGTTCCAATAATTTCAGTTTGGGTCTTACTAGTCCTATTGAGAATCAGGTTGCTCGGGATTATCTGAATATTTTCTCTCGGTAAAATATTTTTGATGATTCCTGGGGGACTGATTTGGACGAAGTAAGGTCTATAACTAAAAAGTTTCATAATATGAAAGCTCCAGGTGATTATGGATTTTTTTATATCCTCATCAAAAGACTCCCAGTCTTTCTTGGTAAAATTATTTAACAGATGTTTCCATTTGGCATACTTTCCTGATAAATGGAAAAAAACAAAAGTTGTTCCAATTTTGAAGCCGGATACAAATTTAGCTGAAGCTTCCAATATGTTTGCTTTCTTCAATAAGTAAACTTTTTGAAAAGATAATTTTAAATAGAACGAACATTAATACGAACTCAATTTTTGCAAATGAGTAGTTTGAATTTCGCCTTGGGCATTCAACTACTCATCAACTCTTAATAGTTACCAATTTAATAAGTTCAAGCAAATCTGAAGGCTAATCAACTGGAGTTGCTCTTCTAGACATAGAAAAAGCATTCGACAGTGTTTGGCATGAAGGTTTGATTGCTAAATTGAAAAAAATAATTTTCTACTCTTTATTATGAATTTAGTTCAAAATTATTTAACTGACAGAACTCTGCAGTTAAGTTGTCAAAATTCCAAATCTGATCGACTACCTGTTAGAGCAGGATTTCCTCAGGATAGCGTTCTTGAGCCTATATTGAATAACATTTTTACTTTGGACCTCCCTGATTTGCCTCAGGGTTTGCAAACATCTTTGTTCTTTGATGACACAGGCATTTCCGCTAAAGAAAGCATTCTTCGTGTTATTTGCAGCAGACTGGAGAAAAGTTTAAGTATTTTCTCTTCTTATTTACAAAAATGGAGGATTTCTCCCAACGCTTCCAAAACTCATCTTATAATATTTCCACATAAGCCTAGAGCTTCCTAGTTACATAGTCACTATGAACGGAGTTCCAATTTCTTGGTCAAGTCAAGTGAAATATCTTGCATTAGTACTTGACCAAAAATTAACTTGTAAAATGTTTGTATCTTCTTATCAACAGAAAATCCAAAATTTGCCTGAAGAATAAACTTCTAATATGTAATCAAATTGTTAGACAGACCATGCTTTGTGCTGTGCCAATATGGCCTATTTGTTGCACTAAATATCAGGTACAGTACTACCGAGGTACATGGAATTTCAAATGTTCAGACTTTAGAAAAAAAAATGTCCAACAAAATAATTTATAATTTTAGGCAAAAATCGTTGCAATCCTGAATTACAACGGTTAAATCCCTTTATACTTAGATAAGATTTAGTTTTAGTTTCAAGTTTTAAGTCAATTGTTGTACTGAAATGCAGGCTTAGAAAACCTATTTAAAATACTGAATTGCCAAGGCAGGAACAATGTAAATAAACTTAGATATATATCATAACAATTAAGGCTGGTAAGTTACTATAGTAGCTGGAGCACCTAGGTTAAAATGAAATGTAATTTATTTTAAATTTTGAACAAATAAAGATGTAAAAACACCGAGCAAACACTGGAAGAAAACGTCATGTACGTTGAAAACGTTGTACTACGTTACAACGTGAATTTTATTCAGGGAGTAGCATTCAAAATATTCAAAAAACTAATCATCAATTTTCTCTACAAGATCAATATTTTGGCATTCATTCGTGGTGGGTTTCTGTGTGGGGGTTTCAATTAATTAAACATGCTGTAAACATACTTGCGCAGGATTTACTCAAGAATCCGATGACTCGATGACTGTTGACGTATGTACGGGCGCTCGAAGGCTCGATATAGGGGCGATTGATGACCTTCCAGACGATGTAGCGATGTATGTGGCGATGGTTACGAAACGTGCTGGAAGGTTCACCCCGCCTTAATGATCCAAAATTCCGTAAGGTGTAAGTTTTCTTGTTCAGGGTGCGGTGTTCGGTAAGATGGAATCCGTACTTCTCCAGACCTTACTGTGTCACTCAAACCTTAATTAATCCTGGTGCCATGTAATCTAAACCACCTGGAGCACAACATCAATGGATAACCTCCAATTCTGAGGCTCCATCTGTAATTATGCATTGTCTGGCTTTTCTCCACAATGCACCAGAAGTAAAAGTAATTTGGAGCCATTTTCACGCGTCTGACAGGCTATCACTTTGCTGGCTCCACGGATGGTATTTATATCTCCTTGACATTGATGCCGACCGGCGCGACGACGGCGAGACAAACCGCCCCACACACAACAGTACCACGTTCAAAAAGAAAGAAGCCGAAAGGCGATTATGCGACCAAATTCTCAACAGAGAGAAGGATAAAAAATTAAACAGAATTCGTTAAGCTTATAGGCTGATTAGAGGGCTAATAATGTAAATATGATTGTCGTC